TTTGGCATTAAAAAAAAATTAAAAGACTACCTCCCCATCAACTATCAACATTTTACACTGATTATTCTTGCTAGCAAAACTGTCCTCCGTGGGCTAGTAAGTCCAAGTATCGATGATGGCTGCTGTTCACAGTCACATCTTGGACCTGCATTAGTGCTGAAGTGTCTTGGGCAGCCTTCCTCCAGGCTAGATGTAGCCAGATAGCAAAGTAAACAAAGTGAACTTCCTGTCCTTCTTGTAGCTTGATTACCTGAACAGGAAATGGAAAACAACACTTTCATCGCATTTCCTCAATAATCAATGCCAAGGAATGCAACAGTGAAAGATGAAAATTAGTGCTTACAATGTGGTACATTTTCAAAGAACCAGAATATTGAAAATAAATGGAGCTGAATATTCCATGTTAAATTTATGCTGGGGACACCTATGTCTTTCCTGTCACAATTCTTGCAACAGTTTCCTTCAAAAGAGACTCCTTTCTTTTTCCATCCTGGGTTAGACTCTCCCCATATTGTCAGAGACCATAAACTTACTAATGCGTATCCATGGTAGGCACTAAGGCTCATTTCCATGTGTCTTGAATCACAGTGTACCCATCAATTCACCATGCACCGAGAAGAGACTGCAGTCCTATAACCCCTTCACTGGGATTTGTGCTTGCTTTTTAATTTCACTGCATCTATCAAGCTGTTCTTCATCACAGAGTCTAACAGCCTCTGAGTGCATGGTGCTCTGACACTTATGCAGGAGCTGTATTGATCTTTCTGGTGTGTGCTGTAAAGTGGCTAGCATCAAAAGCCAGTGAGGCAGCTGGTTTGAGTAGTAGGAGCCATTTACAAACTTTAGGATGAGATGCTGCAGGATGCCAGGGAAAACATTTTTGTTTTTCCAGAGGGAACTATAGTTCATGAAACGTGGTTAACGAACCATTTTTGTATACCCTTAAAATCATTTTATAACCACACTGAGTGCCTCTAAACATTAAATATATTTTATAAGTAGTTGGTTAACTAGCTGTTGTGTGCTTTAAATAGTAAATAAAATGGAAAGGCACAGAACATGACTATATTTCATAGAGTGAGATGCTTTTCCAGCCACTCAATAATTCTCAATGTTAAGAAAAATTGATTTTCTAACTGCTGAGTGCCTCTAAAAATTAGCATCTCATCTTTCTACAAGGATGCTCTTCGGTTAGTCGACTTTCTCCTAGCTTTTGAGTCGATGGTAATCCAGGTTTCCTTTTTGCTAATAAAAAAGATTCTGTTGGATTACAATTCCACCTGGACACATCAGTAATTAACTGCGCCATCTCTAGAAGTGAAAGAAGTTTATCTTGTTCCTTTAATTGTTAATTTGCAAAAGAAGTTGTTTATCACCAACTGACCATTCCTTGCTTGCCACTTACTTCCTTTCCCCTTAAGAGCATGACCAAGGATCCAGCATGGTAGCCTAGTGGCTAAAGTCCTCACCTTGCATGCCCCGGGATCCCACATGGATGCCGGTTCTAATCCCAGTGGCCCCAGTTGCCATCCAGCTCCCTGCCTGTGGCCTGAGAAAGCAGTCAAGGACGGCCCAAAGCCTTGGGACCCTGAATCTGTGTGGGAGATCAGGAAGAGCCTCCTGGCTCCTGGTTTCGGATTGGCTCAGCTGCAGTCGTTGCAACCCCTTGGTGAGTGAATCACTTGATGGATGATCTTTCTTTCTGTCTCTCTTCCTCTCTGTATATCTGACTTTCCAATAAAAAGTAAAAATAAATCTTATTTTAAAAAAAGTGTGACCAAGTAGAAGCTGTAAAAGCGATGGAATCCAATTAAAGAGTATGATTCAAATACCTTCACACAGCACATCTGAGAAGGGAATTGCTTTGCATTTATGAAAGAATAATGGAGAAAAGAATTCCATATGAGATAATGGTCACATTTTCCATGGTAAATTAAGTCATCTTCTAATTATTTATCAACTCTATCTGGCATTTAAGAAAGGCATATTGCCAACACAGAAACCTTACAGGCAGACGTGCTAATGGCTCATCATACCATAGAAGTTGAGGAATGAAATAGATACTCCACAGTTATGGGAAATGGCATTTTTAAGACTCAAAACTCATAGTTCCACCTAAACACGATCATCCCTGTGATAGCACAGAACCTCTGACGAATTTATAAATGTGTGGGTTGAACTGGATTCTAGAATCTGAAGACTGGATAACCTCTATCAGTTCCCTTTTGGTCTAATGATTTAACATTTCTGCCTGTGTATCTGCTTTGGAAGAACTATATGTCTCAAATGTTCTTACCAGTTCCACAGCAGTAGGTGCCTGGCATGTTGAAACCTGAACAAGAAGAGATAAGCATCAAACCTTCTGCCTGCTTCTAGTTAGCATGAATGCAAAGAGTGAACAAAATTCTTTTCAGATACACCCTCAAAATTCCCACTGATGCCCGTGGAAACACTATGGGATTGGTTCAGGACAAGTTGCTGATTTGGAGCCAAATCCAACAATGAGCTGGCACTTCTAGATCCAGATTAGACTACTGTAGTCTCCTGGTTCACAGGCTTGGGAAAGATGGGACCAAAACCAGGCCACCTCAGAAAACTAAGCTATCTAGAGCGAGAGGATTTTCTGAGTCACCACCGTATTCTGTCACCTAATCAATAGTAGTTGCTCAGTGAACATTTGTGAAACTGAGCTGAATCCTCTAAGCAGATGCAGGCCAACAGCAAGAAAATGTAGCGTGTCTAAAATAAAAATCCTAGACGATTTGTGATAACATCAGTAAGAGCTTTCTATTTAATAGTGATCCGAAAGAAATGTCATGAAAAGCATAATTACCCAAATACTCATTTTCTCATTGGATTCAATCCAGAAACTGTTTGCAAGCCAAAATGCCGAGTGCTTTCTCTCCCTTTACATCTCACACACTGCATCCCAAGATGCAGAAGAGAGAATCAGAGAACACAGTTGTCAAAGTGGTAGCGTGACAATGGTCCTTGACTACTGGAGTAAGTATAGAAGTTAACACGACTAGATGTCTTCCTGTGATTATGTTCCAAGAGCTCTCTTTGTACTGTATAATTTAAATCTCAATACAACCCTACCAGGTGGACATTTCTATTACCATTTGTAGAAATAAATAAATATCTATGGTAATTTATATGTAATGCAATGGTAATACAAATGTATTTTGTAAAGGCAGGCATCACTGTTTTAAACAACAGAATCAAAGTTCAGGCAATGTGAAAGACTGCCCACTCTCTGCAGAAACAATCACTACAGACAGCTCTGTGTTTCAAATCTATTAGTTGTCTGTGCAAATGATTAGATTCTTTAGTTAATATGAAACTCCGTGATATGAAAAAGTCTCCTAGAAAAAAAATGAGACACAGGAAATGAGTCAGAAAAGCAGAAATCAAAAATGATGTGTCCAGGAAAAGAAACAATTACAACAGCAACAGTTGAAGGAAGATTTTATCTTTTGCATTGGGTGTGATCTCAGCGAGTATAATCCCAGTGATTATAGTATGTTTGCACTCTAACTTTTGCTGTATTAAAGAAAGAAGCCATCAACTATGTAGATAAAAAACATTTTTCCAATGGTCAGCTGTAGGGAAAAAAATCATTAATTATGATGAAGAACACGAATCATATTTAGGTACCAGTTGTGACTTGCAAACAACCAATACCAAGTATGGATAACTAAATTATTTTTAAGTTTTTAATTATTATTTTTCCATGGTACAGTTTGTAGGTATAGATTCCCCTCCTTCATGTCTCCTTCTCCCCATCACCAATTTTCCCCCACTACCATTTTCTCTCCCATTATTAGACTAGTATAGTCCTTTAGCAATAGTCACAAATCCAACATTCTGCTGTTTTAAAGTGTCTAATGGCATTGTAGGTATAGACAATGGTAGAAAATCTAGCATCCAGCTGTCAGGGTAGGGTGTTTGCTTCTTTTTAATTGTGAAATGAAGCACTTAAAATCCTGAGGTAAGTAAACAAGGAAAAGGGTAAGCTTTGCTTTGAGAACCCACCCCCTCCCATAATTCTCTCTACTTCAATGGCGTAAAATTAACCCTAATTTTTAAAATTATTTTATTTTTATTGGAAAGTCAGATACACACAGGAGGAAAGTCAGAGAGGAAGATCTTCTGTCCACTGATTCACTCCCCAAGGGGATGCAACCCCTGGAGCTGAGCCAATCCAAAGCCAGGAGCTGGGAGCCCAGAGTCTCTTCGAGGTCTCCCATATGGGTAGAGGTTCCCAAGGCTTTGGACCATCCTCAACTGCTTTCCCAGGCCTCAAGCAGGGAGCTGGATGGGAAGCAGGGCCACTGGGATTAGAACCAGCATCCATGTGGAATCCCAGCTCATGCAAGGTGAGGACTTTAGCCACTAGGCTACCATGCTGGGTCCTAACCCTAATTATAGTATTGAACATTTAGTCAACAGATAATTGATAAAATATACTAGGTGCCTGGCACTGACTAGACTATGGGGATAAATCATTTAAAAAGTTCTCTAAAGCCATTGTTAATCAAGAACACTGACAAATAAATATAATTAAACACCAATAAGTGCTATGAAGAAGTATAAAGTAGGTTAAGTATGTTAGAATGGAGAAAAGTGTGATATAAGAAAATCAGATAAAGCACAGTACAAATTAATCTGTAGCACAAAACTAAAGAAGGCAAAATAGCAAGCCCTACAAATCTCGGGATAAAGTATGAACTCTTTAAATGTCCAGGCAGTTGAGGATCAAGTTAGAGAATGATAGCTGGCTAGCTCAGGCAAATCCGGGGTATAGCCCTGGCTCAGTGGACCATAGTATCACTTCGGTTTTTATTCTGTTTGAGGTAAGAAATGTGGAAAGTAGCACGGTCTCACTTGACTTGTAAAAGGGCCGCTGTGGATATAGGTTTAAAATGGGCAGGAAGCAGGATAGATTGAGAGAGAGAGACAGGTTAGGAGAAAATTGCAAACTCTATTTTCCCTTCAAGGGTTGGGAACAAGGGTTTGGATGAAGACAGTGAGGAAGGATTGATTTCAGAGATATTTGTGGTTAAAACCTCAGGCTTTGCTGATGGGTTGGACTGGGGCATCAAGAAAAGGAAATAGGCAAGCCTGTCCAAGATTTTTTGCCTAAGAAATCCAGCAATTAGGCAATTTTTGTCTAAGTTTTTTTTTTCTCAAGGTAATCCGTTTAGTATTTCAGAGTGGTGATGGCACCACACCACTTAGCACACACATAGGAAAGAAAAATAATTCTTTACTGAATTATCTTATCTACCATTCCCTAAGGGAGATTGAGGTCATTCGCAATATGAAAGCCTAAACAAAACCCGAGAGATGGAATGGAAATAAAAATATAGACCAAAAAAAGTGAAAAAGTACGGGTGATGATAAAGGACAAAGGACAAACGAAACTTTTTGAATTCTAGAACTTCAAAGTAAGAGTTGTTTCTCCTGATGTTCTCCCCAACCTTGATTAGTTATTTGTATTCCATATTACCAATCCAGAATATGAAAGAAGACTTATATCCACCCAAAGGTATATCAAGAGCAGATACTCCACGATGGAATAATTACCTACCTGCCTGCCTCCCCTGCCAGTTCCCTTAATACTCAATACTCCTGCCAGTTCCCTTAATACTCAGCTGCTAAGTCTATTTTCAGGATAAAGTGTACTTTGTCCTTTCTTCTCCAAGTCTTTCTTGATCCCTAGAAGGTGTAATTTTTCTTCTAAACCATTCTTCCTTAGTAATATCATTTGTGAGCTAAACTGCTCAGGGTTTCATGGGATGCCTCTCTATTTCCCAGCCATGTCTCCTACACAACATGTATTATAGAAGGAACCTGTATGCATTTGCCCATCCTGTTTCAAACAATGTGTGAGAGTCTTTTCCTTGAGCTGTTTCACTGATGCTTGGGGATTTCAAAAGGATTCCACAAATTGTCAGATTCAGCCAGACTGGTCACACTCCTCACAATCACTCTTGGAATTTAAATCACAGCACCAAGGTTAGTCAGCATTTCCAGAGTCTCTGATGCAAACAACCTCTGTGGAAACTGAGCCAGCCTGACATCATTGCAGCGGGCCTTAACTATTTTAGCATAGGTGTTCAACAGGTATTATTATATCATTTCATGTGTCTTGTCAGACTTTAGGAACTGGAGTCAGGCTAATGGTAGCACATTGGATCCTAATGTTAATGCCTAAATTCCCATGGATGTGGTCTAAAACTTTCTATCTGATGATGGAACTAAAACCACTTTAGAAGGTAACATAGCCAAGCCTTGTCACTTCACCTGGAACATAACAGTCCTGTTAATTTGGAAACTTTAGTACATCTTTCTTTTAAGATAAGGAAAAGCAGCAGAGGCTCTCAGCCCTGATGTGAAGCTTCCAGAATCAGAAAGAATGAATGAAAGGAGCAAGGCAGCCAGAGAGAACTACTCCTGAAATGAAAGGCATAAAATTTGCTCCCCATCCCAACATATAACTTCTCTAATTGTGGGACTAAGGGCACACCCAGCTGTCTCCCCAGGCTGTGCCAGACACTGTGTTTGAAAACTGTCCTCTAAAAGTTCTACATCATTTTGACACAGATCTTTCCCTTAACAGTAATTTTTATTGATCACCTAGGTACCAGGAACTATGTGACTTTTTTCTTACTTGAAGCCCATGGTAACCTTAAGGAGTGTTCTTATTTCCCTTAACATACCTACTCTTTCTCAGGAGACTTTCACTTTAAACTTCTTTTTCATCCACACTGTTTTTCCAAACTTCAGGCGCAACAACAATTGGCAATTGGCCAAGTTTGGAATATGTTAAAGTCTAATGAAAATGACTTGACCCAAAATAGCATCCTAACTTTTCCTCTTAGTCTTATTTAGTAATGATTGCATGTCCCTGGTTGCCACCTACGTGGTTACAATCCACAGTACACAGATCTGGGGGACTATTGTTTTAGGTAACACCTTCCCTCCAGCTTTGTGACTGAGTTGTCAAAAGACGATTCTGAAAGATTCTTGAAGGTAGAAACTGGGCTTCAGTTTTGTCTGTAACCCTATACCTGGTACAGGGCTGGGCATGTAAAAAATGCTCAGCAGTATTTTGGGAAGGAAGAGATGGACGAAAAAAGGAGGGAAGGATATGTGTTAAACTCAGGACTAGACCACTTGAAGAGATTGTAGCCTTTTATTATTTAACCTTTTATCATTTTAATTTTTCTTTTAATAGGAATGAACATGAGAATAAAGATTTGTGCTTTTCCTTGTCACACACACACCTCATTCAGGGAGTACAGTCAGCAGAGGTTTTAAAATACTTTAAATTGACTTACAACAAACAGATTTACATGTTCAATTCAAATTTAAGCTTTTATATAAACAATTTTTCTTAAGTTTTTATTGATTTCTTTTCACTATACTTAGATATGGGCTTAGGAAGAGGGGAGGAAATATGAGAGAAGAGATCTCTTCCATCTGTTGGTTCTTTCACAAACACCAGCAATACTAATGTGATAAACTAAGCCAAATCTAGAAGGATTTATTTCTTTTTTAAACATTTCTAAGGTGCTTCAATTTAAATCTCCCTATTTGGGGCCTGACTTCTGGTTCGGTGGCTAATTCCTCGCTTTGCATGCACTGCATCACAAGGCTGCCTGTTCCTACCCTGGCTGCTCCACTTCCCAACCAGCTCCCTGCCTGTGGCCAGCCTTTGGACCTGGGCCTGCTTGGGAGGCTTGGGAAGAGGCTCCAGGCTGCTGGCTCCTGGCTTTGGATCTGTTTAGCTGCAGCCATTGCAGCTGCTTGGGAAGTGAACCAACAGAGAATCCTTCTCTGTGTCTCTCTGTGAATCTGCCTTTGCAATAAAAATGAGTAGATGTTTATCAAATAAATTAAATAAACAAATAAATTCATTAATTAAATTGTCCCACCATGAAGCATGCATGAGATTAGAAAAAACGATTTGGTGTCTACTGAGGGGGTGTTTTTCTGGCTTTTTTTTTTTTTAAGATTTTTAAATTATTTTTAGTTTTGATAATTTTTACATAGTTAATTAGGGTGAACAGGGTCCAGGACTACAGGAAACTAGGTGAAATCACAATTTCCACATTTTTTTTTCTTCCTGTTTCTGGGGGAAGGTGGGACACAAGGAGAGAAATCACACTCAGCCTCTTAAATTCCTCTGCATCCTGGGATGGATGCAGCCACCCACCACCACCACAGATTCCCCGATGTGGGGCATGCTCTGAGGGCATGCTTATGAGGTTTTGATAGTTCAACAGTTCTGAATTACTGCCGATCTTGGCACTCCAAACACAATGAAATCTTTGCAGAATCCACTGGTTGATACAGTCCACCTTAGAGTCTCTGCCCAGATATTCACTGCCAACACTTGGCTGGGGGTAGTTGATAAATTTTTTTCCGCTCTCTGTCTTCTGTTGCGGTACCAAGTGTCATCTGCAGACTCCAATTTACTGCTATATCCTCCATGTGCACCTGGACATGCTGTCAACTGCTCCATCTAAGCCACTGAGGAGGCCCAGCTCTGACACATACACTCCACGGTCAGACCATGGAACCTGTGGTTGAGATTCTGAGTCCAGTAATACAGTTCAGTTCTCTCCATGGTTGGGGTTCTGAGTCAAGCAGTACACTTGGGGGTATCCCATGGAAACTTCATCTGAGGTGATACCAGATCTGGTTCTTGTGTGTGCTTGCCAATACAGGGTCTGGCACAATCCATCGCCCCAGTCAGCTTATGCACATGATAGTGGTTGCAATTAATGGGTCATTTCTGTCTCCAGCCCTGTCTTCTACACAAACCAGTGGGTATTGTGCCCGATCCTGCCCACCACACAATCAGCCTTCACGGACACTGGTGGGAGCTGCAGCCTAATCGGAGCGGCCCACAATAACCCCACCAGTCCTGCATCCTGCCCTGGTCCCTGTGCTTGCCAGTATGTACAGCAGCCTAGTCTAGTCTGTCCCACATCCCATCCAGCTCTCATATATGTCAATGGGCATTGTAACCTAGTTCAACCCATCAAGCCCCACTATCCAGACCACATACCTGCTGGCAGGTGCTACTTTCTGGCCATGCCTACCACAGTCCTGGTTGTCATGCTCTGCAATAGGAGTGGAAACCCAAGAGGAAGTTACCCACTGGTTCCCTAATTTTCCCACTCCCAGATCTTGCACCCTCCAGGTGGTTCTGAAGTTTAACTTGACAGAATTTGCCCTACTTGCCAGCATCTACCCTACTTGCCAGCATCTACTAGCTGATGTTCTGACAAAGCCCAGTCAACCCATACTCACTCTGATTTATGCATGCAGCAGTAGGAACAGTCAACCCAACCTGGCTTACCCCTGATCCAGCTCATATGAGGCCAATAGGTATTGTAGCCCTGCCTAGCCTTATCTGCCCCCATTCCAACTCACACTCTCTAGAGGGCATGGTGGTTCAGCAGGGGAGTCCTCTACATCCCCACTATTGGCTTCACCTCCTCCTCCCACTCCCAGGTCTCACATGTTCTGGTTGGGTGCTACAGCCCAGTCTGGCACAGTTAGCCTCACCTCAGCATTTGCCAGTGGGTGCTGTAGCCAGGTTGGCCCCAGCCCACCTCCAATTCCAACTCATGCTGCTAGAGGCTACAGCCTAGCACAGCCCTGCCAGCTTCCAGTCCTGATCCTCATGAGCATTGGCTTGTGTTGTGACCCAACCCAGCCTGACCCACACTCCATTCTGGTGCTCAGATTCGCCAGCAGGTGATACGAACTGGCCCAGCCTGGTTCACCCCCATCTTGTGCCAAATGTATGTTGGTGGGTACCGTTCTATGGCCTGGTCTGGACTGCTCCCTGTCTTGGTTCTTGCACTCACCTGCAGGGACTGTGTCTTGACAGAGCAGTTTGCCAAGCTCCTCCATCAGAACCTCTTCCCATTCCAGGTCTCACGCACACTGGTGGGTCCATCAGCTAGCCCTACTTAGTCCACCTCTTGTCTTAGCAGGAACAGTGGCCTTTCCTGACTGGCCTTCACCCATTCTGGTTTTTACTGTTGGGTGTTACAGATCAGCCAAACCTGTTCCACACCCAGACACAGCTCACA